CCTGAAAAAAATGAGGAGTATGGCTTCTTTCGAAAAGGGGCGTGTTTTTTTCGAAAGAACCGCATCTAGATTGCACTTTCACTTTTGAAAAAGTTTTTTTCAAAGAAGTACTTGGATGTGAATATGCAAATGAAGCATGGGATATTTAAATCCACGCTTCATTTGCACTTTGATTTGCATAATTTACATTCCTCTTTTGAAAGACAAATGTAGTCTAGACATAGCCCTAGACTGCAAGCTTCTTTTGAAAGAAGCTTTTTTGAAAGAGCTCTTTCGATAAAAGCTTCTTTAGAGAGAGAGTATTCACACCTCAAAACCGGATTTAAAAATCGATTTGCTTTTTTAAAAGAGAGCATCCAGTCTGCATGGACACTCTCTCTAAAGAAAGTCCTGATTGCTATTCACAGAATGGCCACCAGAGCACCTGTGCTTTTTTTTATTACTTCTTCTTTCAAAAAATGTCCCTGCTCTGCATCCACACAAGCCTTTTTTTGAAGGAGCTCTTTCGAAAAAGACGTTCTTCCATATAATTTGAGGTTTACCAATGTCGAAAAAATCCCTGCATTCTTTTGATTTAATTTCAAAAGAACACAATTGCAGTTTGGATGCTGGAGAAATTTTTTCGAAAAAACAATGTAGTTTAGACATACCCTCAGTTTCTGAAGTATTCAAGGATGCATTTCATTAATGCATGATGACTTCTAAATGGTCTAAGTAATTTTTAACTTGATATTTTCCTGTTTGAGCCTCTGACACTGACTCATTTTCATAGCTATTTTCTACTAGATGCCCAATCACTTCAAACTTCTTGGTGAAAACTGAAACAAAGTAGTCATCAAGCACCCCTGCCATTTCCATATTTTTTATTATTATTCCCCTCCACCATCATTGAGTAACAGCCTTACTATGTTCTTGGTCTTCCTTTTTTGTTCTAATGTATTTCTAGAATGTTTCTTGTTACCCTTTATGTTTCTAGATAGTTTGATATCATTTTGTGCTTTGGCCTTTCCAGTTTTGTCCTTACATAGTTGTGTTATGTGTTTATATTCATCCTTTATAGATTGATCTAGTTTCAACTTTTATAGGACTTCTTTTGGATTTTTAGATTATTGAAGATGTCCTGTTTAAGCCAGGATGGCATTTTGACATACTTCCTATCTTTCCTACGTAGTAGGATAGTTTGCTTTTGGACCCATAATAACGTCTCCTTGAAAAAGTGCCAACTCTCTTGAATGGCTTTCTCCATTAGACTTATTTCCTGAGGGAAATGGTGGAAGCCCCATCATCTGAGACAAATAGACACAACACTTCAAAATGAACTCTAGACCACAGCCCAATGTTGACGGTCCAACATGAATGATGCAGTATTTTTTTCTTGCTCTGTCTTATATATTTCTGATATTCTATGATCTGAATAAGAAATCCTTGAGCTGCCTGGGGTAATTTTTTGTCAGCAATCATGAATTTACATAATTAGCACACCACCATATAATTACATAATTACTGTAAATATGCATAATGATGTAATTAGAATGTGTAATTACTACCTGTAATAACATAATTAGATATAATGACATAGTAAAAATCCTGATAATAGAACTGGGTGTTTGCAACCTTAACTACAGTGATGCTATTTGGAGTTGCTATAGTGCACAAAAATGTTGGTACATTACTTAGAGTCAATATTTTAATATGAACAGAACTAAAGGTAGTTTGTGTTTATAGCTCACAGATGAATGCTAAAAGTTAGTAAAACTGTGCTTAAGTGTTTAGGGAAAATGTGATGAGCTCCAAAACCAAGGATAATTCAATGATCTGTAGCCTGCACAGACATATAACCACATGTCCATCAATTTATGTTACTATAAAGTAACCTATAGCATTATGAGTAGTTAGAGATAGTAGTCTAATCAAAATATCTAAACGTTTATTTTTCTTTTAAATTATTCATAGTATAAATGTTGATTTTAGCAACTGTATTGCTTTCCAATTTCTTTTTGCATTCTCTCTCGGTATATTTTCCTCATGGGGATTTGGCTCCTACGTATGTAATTGGCAGCACTTCTCTCTCCCTAACTCCAGGATAATAAGGAACAGAAATCTTGTAGTACAGGGCTGTGGGCCTTTCACACCTACACACATTTGTAAGCATTTTTCTCATACTGGAAATAATTAGTTTTTGTTACATCTCTTGGCTGTAATCAGTTCCAGAACATTCTTTAGAAATCACTTTTTAAGTCATAATGAATGATGAGGGGCTTGTGTTTTTTGAAGTATATATCATAGTGACTCAAGAGGCTTGCAAAGACTTTGTGCTCTGTGAATTGATATTCAGTATAACAATTTTTTATAATTTAGCAAGTTATCCTTTTCAGTTCTCCAAAACACTTCCTTGCTAGGAACAAGACTATGAAATCCTGTCACACTACTGAGCACTTACCTATTTGAGCAGTCCCACTGAAAACAGCAGGACCACTGAATGAGAGAACACAAGTGAGAATCTCTTGAGGCACTCTTGAGGCATTCTTCTGTTGTTAATGTGAAATTTGTCTTTCACTTATACATATTGTGACCTCAAGAACTGTCAAAGTCAAATCAAAGGGGATGGCTCTAAAAAACCAATAGTCCCATCAAAAATCCATCTCCATTATGTAATTATGACGTCCCATTTTAAGAAGCAAAGGCTATTGCCCTTATACGCACTAAAATCCCTGAAATATTTATTTCATGGATCTTTATTCTTGTATCTGGAAAGAAATCAGAATAATCTTCCTCCACAAGATACATGTGATCCCCTGTTGAATTCCCAAAGAATGTATCAGTTACTCCATTTATCAAGTGTAAGTACCCTGTAAAATGATCTAGCTACAATTTTTATATAACTCTTAATGATACAAAAAAAATCAAAACATTCCACTTTATCGATCTAATAAGTGGTGCTTGAAGTGGGATTCTATTAACATGAGCTATCTCTTACATACATACAGTGCAGTCCCTTCTACTTTCCTTGACAATCTCCCTGGAACATCATCAAATATTAAGTCTGGAAAAAAATAATATATATAATGTATTCTATCCGCTACTCAGAATTAACTATGCTCAATCATATTTTTAGCTGGCTAGCTGTATCATTTTGCAATTGCACTAAGGATGTGGCCCAAATGTGGCAGGCTCTCCTATCGTGACTGTGACCACTACATGTGATCACTATATTTATACTACATGCATCTGACTAAGTGGGTCTTTGCCCATGAAAGCTTATGCTCCAATACCTCTGTTAGTCTATAAGGTGCTACAGGACTGCGTGTCGCTTTTGCAGATCCAGACTAACACGGCTACCCCTCTTATACTTGACACCATGCAAAGCACTGCATTTAGCTGTATGGAGTGGAAATCCATCAACCTCATGAAGAAACTTGCACAAGTACAGACAGATATCATCTTTCTCTCCAAATGCAAACAGATGGACATCATACCCAATGGACTGAAGGTGAAAAATCCATTGCTATCTACATACTGCACACACCACAGTGAGGGTATGTCTACACTACAGCGCTAATTCGAACTAACTTAGTTCGAATTAGTTAATTCAAACTAAGCTAATTCGAACTAACGCATCTAGAACTAAAAACTAGTTCGAATTAGCATTTTGCTAATTCGAACTAGCATGTCCACATTAAGTGGGCCCTGAACCGGGCTTAAGGATGGCTGGAAGCAGTGCCGGCAGGGCATCAGATGAGGACTTAGAGCGTGGAGCTGCTGTCTCAGGCTAGCCAAGGGCTGTGCTTAAAGGAACCCGACCCCCACACCGGATAGACAGTTCTCAGGGGTGCACTGCTTTCAAAGCAGTCCTGGCTTGGAGTGCCCTGAGTGCCCACACTGGGCACATCACAGCACTCGGCCATCAGCTCGGCTGCACTTGCCGCAGGCTGCCATCTGGGGAGAGGGGGAAATTGGGGGGGGCATGTGATCACTTTGTCACTCTTACTGCAAACAATTCTTAGAAAACAATTATTTAGTGTGGGGACTGTCAAAGAAGGATAAATGTTGGGTTTTTTTTGTTTTGTTTTTTTTTGTATTATGGCAACATTTAGAGTTCCCAGCCAAGATCATGGCCCCATCCTGCTACATGTTGTTCAGTTAGTAAATAGATAAGACAGACAAAGAAAGTGCTGTTATCCCCGATTTATGGGGGTGGGGGGACAGGATAGAGGTCTCTAAAAGCAGGAGTTGGGTGGAGAGGGTGCATACAGAAAAGTTCTTCATTAGTTCCCATAATAGAAGGACTAGAGGACACCAAAGGAAAGGAATGGGTAGCAGGCTTCAAACTAGTAACAGAAAGTTGTTCTTCACAAAGCAAAGAGTCAACCTGTGGAACTCCTTGCTGCAGGAAGCTGTGAAGGCTAGAACTAGAACAGAGTTTAAAGAGAAGTGAGATAAAGTCATGGACGTTGGGTCCATGGAGTGGTATTAGCCAAGGGGTAGGAGTGATGTCCCTGCCCAAGGTTTGTGGAAGGCTGGAGAGGGATGGCACAAGACAAATGGCTTGCACTAGTTTGCAAACTTTACAAGCATCACCTTAGTCTCCCAAAACATGCCAAATGAATTTTCAACCCATCAACTCTTTCAAGTATCACATACCCCTTATGCGATATTTTATCAGTTCTTTCAAATAAACTATGCCCTTTTGCCTACTGTTGAATAACAGCTGTAAACAGATGTAAAGATGCCTGTTGTATCTGCAAAACTGGAGGTTAAACTGAGTCCCCTTTAAAAAAAGCTGCTTTTTCAGTTTTTCACTTCCACCGCTTAAGTTGCTGAAAGCCCATGTACTGCAGAATGCACCCAAGGTGTGCCAACTTTGTATCCTGCCTACCTTATGTTAATTTTGGATTTATCCATACATTCATGATATAATGGAATCCTGAGTACTATTTCATGGTTATTTCTGTAACGGATTGAGTAAACATGTAGATTTGTAAAACAATTGCAATACTTACGGTATTGGCAGTTTCTTCCCATAAATTCCCCTGGGCATTCACAGGAATAGTTGGCAACAAGATCTGTACAAATGCCACCATTTTTACAAGGTTCAACTTCACATTCGTTTACATCTGTGGGAAATACATTGTGTCAACATTAGCAAAAAAACTTTAAGAAGTAATAAGCATTTGTTTTATGCACTGTAAATTAGAGAGTCATTCTCTAAGGATCCATATGGTTGATATCAGAAACATATTTTTGGACAGTAAACATATGTTCAGCAAAGTATGCAAATTGTACAAAACAGAACAATTTTAACAATCAAATCCAATCAAACTCATATAGATTTGGCTAGTTTCATAAGCACATGCTTACAGTCTTCAAATGTCCTATTAAATGACAACAGAATTAAGGTTTGCCACAAAGTCCAATAAAGGATAGCGATTAGCTGTTGAACAAGGGGACCACACAGTGAGTCAGAAGTTTCTCCCTTTCTTGTAGGGAGGAATATAACTGGCAAAGATTTCTTCTCCTCTGTGTTGGAAAAGAGTAGTAGATTGAAAGCTTCAACCATTCTCTGCCTCTACTCACCAATTCTATACCCAGCTGCCTGAAGGTTGTTCCCCGACTGCTCTGCAACCCTACCCTGAAATAGGTAGACCATGTAGGAGAGTAAAGCAGAAACTGTGTTACTTTCTCTGTATGGGTACATACTGCAGGTCAACATTTTGCTCTAAATAAATAATCCAATTAGTCTGATAGAGTAACTAATTAATTCTACTTTTAGAAATGTAGCTGTGTTTCTTTCTGCAACAGCTGCCAGTTAAGAATGTCTCTTAGTTCATCTTAATTCATTAATAAATCCTCTAACTGATAATCTAATTGTTTTTGTGTCCAAATCATTCCCTTTTTGTGCATGACTTAGCTGGTAAATAAGAACTAACTGCTTGATTTAGGAGCTTATAATTTGTATTAAATACAAAAGCTAGTAGTTAGGAGCTGTATTTGGGAGCTTTCAGAGTTTGGTACAGGCAGTCCTCGACTTACGCGGATCCGACTTATGCCGGATCCGCACTTACGAACGGGGCTTTCTCTCCCCGGAGCTCGCAGGCAGCGGTCAGCCACCTCGACCTCTGGGGCGAAAAAAGCTGCTCCCGGTGCCCCTGGTCTGCTGGGGACCGTCTCCAGCAGACCAGGGGCATCGGGAGCAAAGCTGCAGCCCTGGCGGGTTTGCTCGCGGTGCCCCTGGTCTGCTGGGGACCGTCTCCAGCAAACCAGGGGCACCAGGAGCAAAGCGGTCCCGT